ATTAGAACATAATACTGTTTTATTGACAGATACAGCAAATAAAATATTAAATATCAAACTAAATCTTTGGCAAACGTGGTATAAAGTACATTCACTTTACATTTCCAGGAGCGTATGTATGGACCATTTCCATTTCTGTCCTTGGTGGATAAACGTTTGTTCATCCACACAGAAGGGTTACATGCATGTCTACCTCTCAGGACCATAGCCAAACCTTAAAAAAATGAAATTAAAAAAAGCTGTAAGGCATTTGTTGAACTTGTTGTACAATTGACTGCTAATGATTACTTTGGTACTGAGCCAGCCAGAGTCAATCTGTCTCAGTTACACGATACAAAAATGGTTCTTTTGCGGACTTTTTTTAAAGGAATCCACACTGAAGGACAAAAAAGGCATATACTAGTTTCTAGCGTATAGCAAGTGTATTCTTGTCCAGTGTTGCAGTTACTTTGTCAATTCGAGTTGACCTTTTTGCTTAAATAGAGCATGTAATCTGACAAACTTTTGAAGATTCAATTGTACTTATAAATCCAGTAATGCAAAATAGTGCAAACGAGAAAAGAGCGGCACCGATCATGATATTAGAGATTACACATGATAAAATGGAATATCCCGAAAAGGTATGACACACAAATGTACACACGCACACAAACCATCAGCTAAACCAAAACAATAATTTAATATACGGTTTTCTTTTCAGGTCATATACAGCAACAGTTAACGTCTTCTTCAGTGTCTGACCTGTTTTTCTTTTTTTTTTCTATTTTCTTTTCCCCCATTTTGATTGTGTATCACAGAAAATGTTAAATCATGTTGGTAATTTCATACCACGAGTCAGAGATGGCTTCTAAAACTGTTACACTTGTCTGTTTGACAGAAAATGGAGCAATACTGCAGTTTTCTGCTCAGCTGACACGTCGCTGTTCTGTCCGTGAGAGGTAAGACACTAGTGAAATGGTGTAGGACGAGGGCAAATTACGTTAAAGGCCTCAGGCAACCTTGTGTGTGTGTGTGTGTGTGATCTGTTAGTGATACTAAATACAGTATGTAAAGGAATGTATTGATTGATTTAGAGAGAGAACGAAAACAAAAAAACAACAACACATCAATTGTTACTTGGTATTTCTTCACACGGTTCGTCTTGTTTTATATCTTGTATAATATATATATTTTTGTAGAATCTTTCAAAGTCTTTCAGGAAATAGTTCAGTCATTGTTCAGTGATTTAGAGAATGAGAGCCTTAGTGTTGATGTTGCGTGAGGGGGGTATAGTCGATGTCTGGGGGAGGGAAACCCGCTGTTGCTTGACCCTCCTAATCCGATCTCGGCCCCGTGAAACTGAAGATCGTGTAGCCATCTTCAATCCCTCTGACCTTAACGCCATTCAGACTGGTACGATATGGAGGCCGTGGCCATGGTCCTGCAGTTTGATTGGGTTGCCATGGTAACTAGTGGCGGTCATAGGCAGTGGCAGCAGTGGGAGGGGCGGAGCCCCGGGATGCGGCACTATAATAATAAGGGGAACCTGGAAGTTAACAGAAGAGCGGAGCGTTTGAAACCACAGCAAGAGCAACACTTACGCCCACTCCTAATCATTTTGCTAATGTAAAATACAATCAGACTATTCTATTATGTTTGGAAACCTTGGCACGCACAAAAACACTTGCGAAGGGCTTATGCGTGTCTTAATTTAGAGATGCGGCGTGTTATGACCTCGCTAATCAAAAAGAGAAATAAAACTGTAGCTAGTTTAATAAAGCTGTATGCAAATAATGTCATTGTAAAATGTGATTGTATTAATCCCACTTTAAAGTGACTAATCCCATAAGGGATAAGCAAAAAAGGGTTAATACTCACTTAATAACGCGGGGTTGCTGAACCGCCAAGCTTCATTGTAAGTTGTGTACTGCGGGTGAGAGTAGGGATTTCCTGAAAAGTCGCTTCCTGAAATCAAACACAAGTGACAGGTTAGCAGTAAAGCAAATTGTGTACCTTAAAGGCATATTCATGCATTCAGGATGAAATAAAGCTTGACTGTCAGCAATTTTGGAATAATGTTCATCAACACAAAAAGTAATTTTGATTCATCCCTCAAAAAAAAAAAATCAAGCTTTTGATGAAGAATTTATATTTTTTGAAGCCAGTTTTCGAAGGTTTTTAAAGAGATTTGAAATTTCATAAAAGCACTCCAGTTATTTAATCTGTTAGCCTGTGTATTATTTGAGCTGCAAAGCTGTACAAATATGTTTGGCATTTATAGCATTGTATTGTTGTGATGACAATGAAGTTGCAAAATCAGTTATACCTTTACACAAAAAAGGCAAGTAAACATTTTTTACACTAAAATGATGTTAACATGCTTATTGTTTCCATTTTGTGTCTATACAATTGAAACAGAGAGTATTTTAATGTTTACAGATTTGCCTCTTTAAAGAACCTTACTGTACACTGAAAAAAATGTGAAGGATTTACTTTTAAACCATTAAAAAAAATGCTAGTAAATTTCACAAATAATTACAAAAAACCTGAATTAAATGTATAATTTTGAAGTAGAAAGACTGAAATAGTTTTTTCCTTGTAAAATCTACTCCAATAATGGTTGTTGTTTTACAGTGTAATTCAAATTCAAAGAAGGGACAAGTCGAAATGAATTTTTAAGGTAAGGTAATGACATATGCTGCCGATTGAGCTTAACTGAATTAAAGTAATGCTGTGTTTGAAATATTGCATCGCATTAGTTCAGCACATCAGAACTAAAGGAACTGGCATTGTTTCACAGCGCTAGCTAGCAGATGGCTCGCCCTGTCCTCTTTCCTACGCCCTGGTGCTCGGCCATTTTGGCTGAATTTGTTACATTAATCCTGAGCTGGGTTTTGAAGTTTCCTTTCTTTGATTCTGCTGTTGCGCTCTTAAGATTCTCTATTCTTCGGCCGCACCAAAGCCCGGCTTCAAAAAACCTCCCCAATGGATTCGTTCTCGCACACACTCTGCCCTTTTTATTCGTCCGAATTCGACTTTCAGGAAGCGGCCCTGTCCATGTCAGTGAGCAATGCTGTTGGTCCCCCACGTTTCTTTCTTTTATGAGACAATAAAGGCTGGGTTTTATATGAAGCTGGTGAGGAATGGCTTTTGCTTTAACAGTGTTTGGGGTCTGTCACTAAATCTTAGTCGTTCGAGGGCCAGATGAATGGAAGTGCACACAAAACCCATGGCTCTAGGATTTAAGAGGATTTCTCAGCCTGTGTGACCAATGAAAATGAATCTTTGATGAAAACATATTTGATGTACCTGTAAAGATATGTTTGCCCAGCAAATGAATCCTGTCACTGAATTAAATTTGCCCCTGCGAACTATTCATGTTTGTGTGCCGTGGAAGCCCAAGACAGACTCGAATCTATCTGAGGCACTCAACGGTGACCGAGAGAAGAATCCCTCTCTGAGTTTGATGTAAAATATTTGTTTTCCAATTTTCGCACACTGCATGTTTGTGCTCGGACTTTGCGAGCGCTGATGTTATCCCCTGGCTCCACGTACAACTGCATTTACACTTTTCCGACTTCTCTGCGGCTCCTCTCAGACCGTCCGTTTGCATACATATGTGTGTGTTTGTGCTGTTTGGGGAGAGGGCACCGGTTTTGCTGCCAGATTGCATCCTGTCCTGGCAGTGAAAGTCAAGTCGGGTCCCTCTGAGAGATAGTGATTTAAATATTTACAGGCCTTCCTGCCCGCTGTTTTGTGACCCTTAACTGTTTGCTGTGAACCTGAACTGCAGGTTAAGTAGAAGGGAAAAGAGATACGCTCTACAGCACTGGAGGCAGGGTGGAGAAAGCTATGTTTATCGATGGCCTGTGAGAGCGTCGAACGGTCCAGGAGAGCGAGGGAGGGGCGTAATGAGCGCTGGAACCCGAGTGGAACTGAGAGGAACTGTCCTATATCCCACACTTAATTTTCTCCTCGGCAGCCGATAAGCTGAGGCTCCTTCTCAGGTGATTGACGAGTTGAAATCGAGATTTACACTGCCCGTTGTTGTCTTTGCAGCCATCCTGCAATTACGGCTCCACATTAATCTTTTTCTCATTAATATTATGCTCCTCATTAATATGATCCTGTTTAATAAACATTAGCCTCACCAGAAATGTCATGGGCAATATGCTTGTTTCACTTCTCTTTCACAACTCTCATTCTTAAAATGTTACCTGGCATTCTACACTAATGTATTCAAACAGGAAAGGAAGCTCTGGGCCAATGCTAATTGAATATTAATGCAAAATTGTTATCAAATCGCAGTTTTATTTTCCAGGTGCAGCAGTGCAAATTCAAGTTGGCTTTGCATGACCTCGGGTTTCCTGAAGATGATCAATTGCCGAGGACTATTCGCTGAAAATATTACGAGCTCTCTTAAAATTAACGTCCTCATAAAAATAGTAATTACACTTACCAGGGACCATTCCAGCAAGTGTAGAGGTGGGGTAGCTGCCCTGCCCAGTGGGGGGAACGTGAGGTGGGTATCCTGGTAGGGTTGTGCTCGCCATGTCTCGAACTGGAAAGAAAGTCAAAGTTTGTGAGGGCAGCTCTTGAAATCGAGATTTACACTGCCCGCTGTTGTCTTTGCAGCCATCCTGCAATTACGGCTCCACATTAATCTTTTTCTCATTAATATTATGCTCCTCATTAATATTATCCTGTTTAATAAACATTAGCCTCACCAGAAATGTCATGGGCAATATGCTTGTTTCACTTCTCTTTCACAACTCTCATTCTTAAAATGTTACCTGGCATTCTACACTAATGTATTCAAACAGGAAAGGAAGCTCTGGGCCAATGCTAATTGAATATTAATGCAAAATTGTTATCAAATCGCAGTTTTATTTTCCAGGTGCAGCAGTGCAAATTCAAGTTGGCTTTGCATGACCTCGGGTTTCCTGAAGATGATCAATTGCCGAGGACTATTCGCTGAAAATATTACGAGCTCTCTTAAAATTAACGTCCTCGTAAAAATAGTAATTACACTTACCAGGGACCATTCCAGCAAGTGTAGAGGTGGGGTAGCTGCCCTGCCCAGTGGGGGGAACGTGAGGTGGGTATCCTGGTAGGGTTGTACTCGCCATGTCTCGACCTGGAAAGAAAGTCAAAGTTTGTGAGGGCAGCTCCACAAAAAATTTTTTTTTTTTTAAATTAAAAATTACAATAAAAAAAAGTCAACGGGTGCTGGATGTATGGTTATCCTAAAATCTTTATAATAAAATTAATAATAATAAAACTGAAGAGGAAAATCATCCAGAAATTACGATTATATATAGTATTTGTGTAGTTTCTTTTAAAGATACAGTAAACTCCACATATTTTGATACATTAAAAATTATGATGCATAGAATAAAGTGGAAAAGCACCCCATGCATTAAACTACTTGGTGTTACACCATGCACATCAATAATAAAAATACTCAAACATATTGGTTTCCTTAAAAACACAACCCTGTAACCCTTTTCTCTGAAAATCTGAGGAAACTGAAGTCAGCTGTAGCTTTTTTTTTGTAGACAAATAACTAGAAAACCCACAAGCCGAGCATACAGTAGGTAATGATCACCTCTCCATAAATTCACAACTTGAAAAACTGATGAGCCTGCAGAAGCTAAAAACAACTCTCCGCTTTTTTTCTCTTCTAGGTCACTCGGCCTTTTAACTTCCTCTATTACACAGAGTGGCGCTGCTGGCCTGTTTTGACTGAAATATATTAAACAGCTCGACAGAGAGAAGCACAGAATGCCCTCGGCCTGCTGGTGGCATCGCTGCTGCTAAAAAAGCCCAGAACATCACGAGAGTGCAGAGCGCACACTGCCTCCATATTCAGTTCTGTAATTGGAGGTGATGGCTAGCAATCCTGCTGGATGTGCTGGCGCAAACTTTACAGCACGTAGGCCTTCGTCAGTCCTGAATGGGCCCTCGCGAGGTCCCGCATCATTGTTTGAAAGAGGACCAGTGAGGGTTGAGGGGGGAGGGGGTGCTACCCAATTCTAGTTACTAATAAGAGAGCTGCCAGTAAGAGTGGCACACTAAGTCAGTAAGCAATGTGAAAATCTGTGTTTTAGTGTGATGTTGTGCTTTTGGTTTAATTAATGTGAACATAGGGCATATCACAACCGAGTTGTTGTCTTGTTTTTGGTCATTAACTAAAAATATGAGCAAAATTTGCAGTTATAGAGTATGGCAGACACACAATTCCACTCACACATTACCCACAATACAGAGGCTTTTAATCATAAAATAAAATCAAAGTACTAGAGACTAGAGAAGAATTCTCAGTACTTTTCAGGACCGTACAGGACAGTAGCCGTCTCCAGCAGCACCATGGAATACGCCTCAATGGATTTTTGAGTAAATTTGATTTTAAATGACATTTAAAAAATATTTGTATCTTTTAAAAATGTTGCAATTTGACCGTATATATATACCATTTTTTATATACACCATACCTTTCAAAAGTTTTGGGTCAGTCATTTTTTTTACAGTAAAATATTATTGCAATTTTAAAAAAATGTTTTCTATTTGAATGTATTTTGTAAATTGTTAATGTTAAATTTAATTTATTCCATTGATAGTAAAGCTTAATTTTCAGCAGTCATTGCTCCAGTCTTCAGTGTCACATGATCCTTCAGAAATCATTCTAATATGCTGATTTTCTGCTCAAGAAATATTTCTTATTATTATTATCAATGTTGAAAACAGTAGTGCATAACCCTTTTTTAAAGATTCTTTGGTGATTAAAAAGTTAAATAGAACAGCATTTATTTGATATATCTTTTTCTACTGTAAAATAATATAAAAGACTTTACTGTCACTTTTAATCAATTTAATGCATATATGCAATTAAAAGTATTAATTTCTTTAAAAAAAAAAATCCAACTGACCCTAAACATTTGAACAGTAGTGCACACGTAAATGTTACCTTATTTTTGTAATGTCTTATTTTGTGTAGGGCAAATGACCTTGAACTGCCATTGCTGCCCCATCAAAAAAAAGCCTTTGGTTGTTTCCCCCTTTACCAGCGCAGGGTACGTTTTCTAATCTTTCTTTGTATTATTATTATTTTATTTTTATTTATTTATCTGTACCTGCTATAATAGGCTGGCTTGCATACTGGCTGTAGCTGGGGGCATGATGGGCATAGGCACCGTAGCAGGGGGTGGAGGCATCTACTGACACGCTGGGCTGGAGGGGCAACAGTTCCGCTAGGCCCGAGACTGCCAGTGAGGAAGGGGTGAAAGGAGCCAGGGAAGCCTCATGCGGCTCCTGCTTAACACACACGGAGGATGAATGTGACTCTGCCAGGTGGAGAAAAACAACAAAAAAGCCACACACACACAATCAGACAATGCACAATCGCTCGCACTCAGCAAAAAAAACTAAAACAAAGATGAATCATGACAGATGGAAGTACTGAATGGAAGCAGTAAAAAAAAAAGGAAAATGAAGTTTGGCTGACAGTGTTTGGTGTTGTTGTGATGCTACATTGCGTTTAGGAGGAAAAGAAGGATTTATGTGAAGATACGACTGCCGTGGTGTTCTGACTCAGTTCCTCGGGTGTGTTCAGGAGTTTTAACAGAGCCTCCAGAGGCACACGCTCAGAAAACAACATTTCTACACGCACGAAGGGATTTGGTCATGGAAAGCCAGGAAATGTGGCTGTGCACTTGTGCTATGTGAGGGTTTTATGTGCGAACACTGATCCACAAATAATTACATCAAGGATGCTTTAAAACTTTTGCCACACATATGTGCTGCCAATTTTTTTTTTTATTATAAAACATTTTGCAATATTAATGTACAAATATTTATATTTATTTTTCACACGAAGGGATTTGGTCATGGAAAGCCAGGAAATGTGGCTGTGCACTTGTGCTATGTGAGGGTTTTATGTGCGAACACTGATCCACAAATAATTACATCAAGGATGCTTTAAAACTTTTGCCACACATATGTGCTGCCAATTTTTTTTTTATTATAAAACATTTTGCAATATTAATGTACAAATATTTATATTTATTTTTCTTTCTATGACAACTGAAATAAACATTAATTTGGGCTCTAGGGCCTGCCGGGGCTTCTGGTGACTCAAGACAGAGGCAGTTTGTCACTGGGCCACACATCAGGTACCTCAGTCTAGCCGGCAGCGTGTTGTTTGCTGCTCACTGGAGAATAGCGGGCCACACTTAAAAAATGGCTCTCTGGCAGATATATTTCAGCCGGAGTTCATCAGCAGCATAAGCCGACACAAAGCAGTCTTTTCTTTCGCTCTGCCTGCGTATGCTGCTTTTCTTTCTTACATTTCTTGCTTGTTTTTTTTTTCAGACATGGAGCTCTGTTGCTTTCAGGCCCGGGCGCTCATTTTTTCCTCCTTCTCCCCCCTTCTCCTCTCCTCCCATCTCTCCGAAGAGATTTGGAACAAGGGGGATCCCTTCAGCACCTGCTCAGGTTTTCAGTGGATCGGAGGGGTGCCCATTTACACAGTACCATCCTATTGGCACCAGGAAGACTTCCATTATACGGCTCGGCAGGGACGGCGCTTAAGAATCCGCACTAGTCATTCATTGTGAAGGTATGTGGAAATGGCCTTTTTAAAACGCTAGCCATATCTGGACAGCATCCAAACTTTTTACTGCAGTTTGAATAAATCATGCCATTGTTTTTTTCCCCTCTACTACAGTTAATACGTGAAAGTGTGGAATGTGCATGACGCATAATGGCAAGTATTGCCTCTGATAAGTCTGAAGCCCTTTAAAACAGAAGCACAGAAATAAACCCACAACAACTTGTCTGTACTTTCTAGGAATTTATTATTAAATTATTAATTTATCTAAAAAAGTATGCATCTATTCCATTGTTTAAAGTAATAGACTTTACTTTAAGTATTTTTTTATTTATTAGATTTCATCAGGCATCATAAATTTCAGTCCAGTAGCAAGCCATTTTCAAATGCATTTTTCTTTAGGACTTTAGGTACAGAGTAGTAACCCCTAAAACTAATTGGGTAACAGAAGCACAGAAATAAACCCACAACAACTTGTCTGTACTTTCTAGGAATTTATTATTAAATTATTAATTTATCTAAAAAAAGTATGCATCTATTCCATTGTTTAAAGTAATAGACTTTACTTTAAGTATTTTTTTATTTATTAGATTTCATCAGGCATCATAAATTTCAGTCCAGTAGCAAGCCATTTTCAAATGCATTTTTCTTTAGGACTTTAGGTACAGAGTAGTAACCCCTAAAACTAATTGGGTAAACAGTTAACACAAAAAACATGTCTCCTATGCCTCGTAGTGCCCTTAAAATTCCAATTTCTGTTTTGTAATGAAGAGTTCATTAATCATTCATCTTTAATAGATTATGCAAATCGTACAACATAAAATCAACAAGATCAATGGCAGCGTGAATTTTAATTGGCCCAGGAAAACATTGCTGGGAATGAGCATAATCTCCAGCTCTATCCAATGAGAGGGAGTAATTTATTCAGAATTGGCTCTCAGTGTAAATGCGTAGGGTAATTTAGCACCTCCTTTAACTCTGTCCTCATTCTTATTTCCAGTTTATCACATGCGAGTACACCATAACATCACGTTTTTGCATCTTTGAACGGCTTTTCTTGCTTTTTTTTTTTTTAATAAATGAAGTTATTACTGCCAAAAGTCATTTAGAATACGACATGGAGCAGTTAATATATAAGACTCTCAAGATATGTCATTTGAGCCTAGACATTCTGAAAAAGCTTTAGAACATAATTACAACTGTATTTTTTTTTTTTTTCAGAAAATGCTGAAGTTAGGTTGCCAGGGGTAAGCATTCTCATCATGCATGCATAAACCGACACCGTTGTGAAATCATTAACAACAATAAAAACTTAAGCAACCATTTGAAAATCTCTCCACCAGGGCCATTTCCTACGCTCTACCAGAAGCAAGTGGTGGTCTGCACTAAGACCCCCGGTGTGTCCCGTCCCAGGTGCAAGAAAGGCCACCTGCCATGAGGGTGCTCCCTAGACCGAGACTGCTTTCATACAAAGGACAAAAACACACCTTTCTTCTCCAGAGGCCCAACTTTCTGGAGGGAACTCTACCTCCCACATATTACTGAGGGGGGGAAAAAACCCTTTCTTCTCACATAACATTATCCAGCTATCATTTGAGAAGGGGGCACAGCAATTTTCAATCATCCTGTCCTCCGCCCACACAGAACTCATTGGCTTTGATGGCTCCTGCATAATTATGTGAATTTTATTAAAAGCTCAGCGTATTAATCTCAGCACGACAGTTGGCTATCAGTAAACTTAACCTTCTCTGAGGTAATAACAGCCGCAACAATGAAACAATATTTCAATTAGCAAGGCTGACATTAACCACCGCATACCACGAGGAAAAAAAATGCCTCGGCATTAAAAGGCCAAACCGTGCTAGGCCACCATATTTCTTTCTGAGAACTATGAGCTGAAGAAAACATTTCAGTACACAATGTGAAGTAGTAAAACAATTCATTGGTTTTTGAACAGTGACACCGGCCAACAAATCTCCATAATCACTTCTTGCATGCAAGTAACAGCGCCTGTCTGTTTCGATCGCTCCTTTCTTACACGGCCCCTCAGAGCAGGCAGCACTAATCCATCCACTTTAGATCAACATGTCACATTCCACTCTCACCTGTCCGCTCAACTTAAAAAGCTCACTTTACCACATAAAACAGTCACATAGTCTAGAATATGAACGTAATATGCCAGTATTCTAATGGTCAGCCGGGACGGTGGATCCAGCGCTCTTACCTGTCACTACCGGGTAGCTCTGTGACACGCTGGAGCCCAAATCTGAGCTGACGCTGGTTGACAGACTGGGCTTGACTTCGTCCAGTCCAGGGTTCAGTGCTGGTAGCGAGTATTCATTAGCCTGCCAATGAGGGGAGGGGACACTTTAAGTAGATATATCTTGGGATCCAAGCATCACTTTTAAGGTGTCCAATTAGAAAGCTTTCTTCCTCTGAGCTGCCAGTCCTGTATTATTTTATTTGTCTCTTCTTTTTATGATATTTTTTATGATTTAAGGAAAGTGGATTTAATATAGTGGCGGCTCAGTCACTTGGCTTTGTAAAT